CCATGTTAATTAGTATATTCTTGACTTTTCAAAATGCTATTTTAGATACCATGTTACAGTTGTAGTATGATTTATTGGGTTTGCCTTGACTTACCAGGTGACTTGTCCAGTCTCATGTTCTGGCACTGAATGTAAACTTCTTTTTTTTTTTCCTGATAAGTTTCCAGTGAAGATTGCATTCCAACTTTGAGATTCTTTCCTGCACGCATGTGGAATAGGGAGGCCAATTCACACAGCTTATCTAAAAGGCTGTTCTTCAGTTATGTGCTGAACATTGACTCCAATAATGGGGGGAAAGATAAATTTTGTCACTTTCACCAGGGCACTGCACTGTGTTTCAGAGTTATACCTGCATTCATTTAATTTAAGCCAGTGTGTTTGGTAGCCAACATGAAGTGAGTTGTAACATAATTTAAATAGTGTAGAATGCAGGGAGATGGGTCTTCCTGTTTAAAATAGGTAGAAGCCACATTAATGTGGTGATAGTTAGCTTTCCAGGTGAAAAATAGGCATGATGCATCTAAGGAATATTCCTGGTTTTTAACCCTCGTTTTAGCACAGTATGCTAGATAGAGAGATGTGAAGTAAGTTTTTGATGGTTTTCTGGGGGGTTTGCATCAGAGCATGTTGAAAGGAAAGGACAAATTATTTTTCATGCAATGTAAAAGGAAAATGTTATGAGTAAATTTCTTTATTTGGTTGATCTCGAATGATGATGATCTTGAGTGATGTTCCACGTCCTGTATTAATTTCACTGGTGTTTTTAACTTGTTTTCTCTTTCTGAAGAATGGGTTTTCACTGGCCTCCATTCTGCTCAATATCCCACTTGCACCTGCATGTCTTGGCCCCGGCAAGTCAGCTAGGATTCTTATCCAGGCTGATTTACAGAATCAACTCCTACTGGTTTATCACAGTAAGTGTAATGAAGTTTTTCAGAGATTCTTGATTGCAAGCTGAAAATGTGATGTCTTTCTAACATCCAGAATATTCTTTGAGCAATTATTTTTATCATTACTGTAATTATTTGTTATATTTTGCATTACCTATTTGAGAAAAGGCAATGGGTAAAATTTAATACTGTTTACACTTACCAATGGAAGTAGAGTGACTAACATTACCAGCAAACCGTGCAGTAGTTCTGGATTTAATGCTTAGCTTAGATTGATGTGATTTGCTTCTGACTAGACTTAGTAAGTATTTGTTTAATATGAAAAGATTTATTGGAATGTGATGGTTGAACAAAGACATGTATAACATATGGCCCAATCTAGATGAAAAATATGGCCACCTAATGGTTGCTTTTATCATTTCATACATTTTTTACTCATCTTGCCATCCTTAGACTGAAACAAATGTTTGCTGTACTGAAGCACTGTTTGTACTGTTTACTGTCTATAGAGATTAGCAATGTGATTGAATTGGCACTGCCTAAAACACTTCTCAAAAACCTTTCTCCTCAGCAGGGGACCTATCCTTGCTGGAGTTGTAGCTCCAGCATCCTGGTGTCATTGGGCAACCCCAAGGCAAAGATGCTGACAAAAATTTCTCCTAAAGATGATTATGGCAGCCTGTTTAAGAGGAAAAACTCAGCTTCTTTGTGGTGGTAGCTTGATGGAGAACTCACCTATCTTGAATTAAGCAGGTCAATCTGCTGTGTAGCAGAGCACCACAGAGGGGAAAAAAAACCCCTATGGCTTGTCAAGTTATACTGCTTACTATTTTGGATTGGCTCAGGGATCTCCATACCAGCTTTGGTTATCCAGTGTGGATGCAATTCAAAAGATATTTTGCCCAGTTGTCAAGTTGGAAAATGTTCTTGAATTGTCAGGGCTTTTTTTAGATATATACGATGCAAATACGTACAAAATGTAATGGTCCCAGCTAGTGCACAAGTAGCCATATGATGAGAAAAAGTGTGGATGGGCCTAGTGATATAACCAAAGAATGAATATGTTTCTAATGACACAAACTGCACACAAATGCTCTCCATCACTCAGTAAAGTGTATGACTACAGTGCAATTGTGAGGTGTGAAGAGGCCACGAGATGCTGTTCTGGAGAGTGTCCCAAGGAATTCCAGTTCTCATAGGTTGGTTGTTCTGGGCACTGTCTTCCCAGGTCCTTAAAATGTGATAGTTTAACAGTGATTACTTTGCTCAACCATCTTCTGACTTTCATAGTTGTTGGTTTTTTTTTTTTTTTCCCTTTTCTCATCACCTAGTGGGAGTTTAGTGAAAACATGACAAAATCAGCTTTTTAAAACAGTCATGGTATTTTACTTCTTTGTATGCTTTATCCGTAAAAATGACAAATATATGCTGTATCTGTCAGTGTCATGCTGTTACTATTTTTAAAGTGGATTTTTCAGCCAACTGACTGTCTGCTGCATAGTTAATGTGTTGTGTTCTCTCTTTCATAGGCTGAGCAACTGATTGAGCGACTGCAAACTGAAAATGCTGCCAGCTGAGAGCGCTCTTAGCCTTGTGTCATTAGCCATTTTGTTCTTTGTCTTTGAACTCTGATTTAAGGTTGCACAGTTTGTTGCCAATTATATACCAGGATATAAAAGGCTTAATTCCTTATGAGGAAATACTGAACATAGAGCTGTCAACCTAATTCTCACGTTTGGGTTCTTCAGAAGTCTGCATATTTCTCTGACAATAAGGAAATGCATTTTAATTATGATTTTATATATGCGTATACATATATATGCATACATAATACATACACATATGTAGGCAACTTTTCCCAGTAGAATGTGGGGTATAGCAGCAGAATGCACTCTAAGAAAACAGGTTGGTAGTAACAGCATGCACATGGTACCGAAGGTAATGTTTACTGTGAAATCTAGCTTTTATTTTAAAGATGCATCATTCTGGAATTGCAGGGAACATTTAAAGTATTTTCAGTTTCAGTCTGTTCTTGTACGATATATTACCTATGCCTGGTTAGTAGTAGGTACCTTGCTGAAAGTACACTACTAACTTTTCTGGTGCTAAACCACTTTAACATATTGCCCTTCTTACTTGCATGGCAGTGACGTAGTAAATGTTAATACAGTATGTGTCCGAGATGTGATAGTGCTAAACCATAGAACATTGTTTACTTGGATGTATAAGTGGTTGTATGTTGGACCTGCAGATTGTTCCCCTCTCATGTGCACAATATTTTTAATTAGTTATTGTATGTTTACAAATATGTGAAGAGTTCAGAAGAATTGATTTTAAAGCACTGCTCTTCTGCATTGTGGTAGAAGAAATTAAAAAAAAAAAAAAAAAAAAAGAAAACCACACAGATTTTGAGATTATTCTGATATTGTTCTCACTGGAAGTCACTTGGAGATTACTAATGCCTTGGCTAGATTTGATTTCTAAATGAGGTCACAAAACAAATGGGTCTTCAGTACAGTGAGTTTGTAGCAGGCTTGCATAACAGCAGTTTGATCTGAATTTGGAGTAGCAGGGGCTCAGCCCAAAAGCAGAACATGTAGGGATTGTGTTCTGAATTGCTTATGGAATCTGCTGAACACTTGCCCTCACTGCATGACTCTTAATCAGCAACTTTAGCTCTGTTTTTCAATACCATGTTAAGGCAGACTGTTTGGAAAGTTTAACTCCAGTAAACATGGAGTGGATTTTCTTTATTCACAAACTATTATCTCTTGGTGCCTAATTAACCAAGTGCCCTTGGCTGTTGCACTGAGATGCAGCTGAGGTGGTGATGGTCTGTTGCACCTGCAAGATTCCCTCAATGTAATCTTCTCAGTGTTTTCCACAGAGCCAGCACCTGTTGCCTTAGTGGACAGTGTATTACAGTAGACTATACATCATAATTCAGAAGGTGGACACTCTTCTAAACAAATGTTTTCTACCCAGAAGGATTAACGTTAGTCTTTTCTGAAGACCTCATTTCCAATGTCTTGTTATTCTTATTAGTGGGCACTCATGTAATTTGTAGTACTTTGTGGTTTTAATTTGTAATATTAGCTGTGAAGAGCGTGAATTAAAGCCACTGAACTTTGATCAATTCTGTGCAATACATTGGGAGGCTTGAGTGGTCTCCTAACTTCACGAAATATCTGAACATTAAGATTTTTGAGGAGTTAGTACTATCTGTGTCCTGATTTCTAATTAATCAATGTAACTGTACTTAACTGTGATATGTAATATTTAAAGAACCAACATGAACTGTTGTCCAAAAGTATAAATAAACTGAACAAATGTTAATCTTGGAATGATCCTGCCATACAGTGGTGTGATCCCTCCTCACTCCTGCTCCCAGCAGGATGGGGGAGAGAATGGGTCAAGGTAACAGTGATTTAGTAGTTTAATGAAGTAAAGAGGGTGGAAAAAGAACGAGGTTTGCAATGTAAAGGCAATAATTACCTTCTGCAAGCAGTCCAGTAGAAATGGCTAGCCTAACTGTAGCCTTTAAGAAACCTTCCCTCCATTTTTATTGCTGAGCATGATATTATACAGCATGGGATAACCGTGCTGGTTGCTTTGTGTTGGTTGTGCAGGTTGTCCCTTCCTGGCTTCTTGCCCACCCCAAGCCTACTGGTTGGAGTGGCAGACTGGGAGAATGAGAAGGCCTTCATGCTGTGCAAGCACTGCTCAGCAACAGGATCATGCAATCATATCATAGAATCATAGAATGGCCTGGGTTGAAAAGGACCTCAAAAATCATCTAGTTTCAACCCCTCTGCCTGACATAGAGAGAGAGAGCAACTCCCCCACCCTTCCTACCTCTCCTATCTCTCCTAAAGGGGGGAAGTTTTTTACTAGGAGGGTGGTTAGGTCCTGGAACAGGCTGCCCAGGGATGTTGTGGATGCCCCGTCCTTGGAGGTGTTCAAGACCAGGTTGGACGAGGCTCTGGGCAACCTGATCTAGTAAAGGTGTATGTTCGGTGGCCCTGCTAGGCAGGGGGGTTGGAACTACATGATCCTTGAGGTCCCCTCCAACCCAGGTCATTCTGTGATTCTGTGATTCTGTGCCTGGGCAGTGTCACCAACCTCTAGACCAAGCTGCCCAGAACCATGTCCAGCCTGGCCTTGAATGCATCCAGGGATGGGACATTCACAGTCTCTCTGGGCAATAGTCAGAAGATTGCTGTGTTAACACTGTTTTAATCACAAATAGGAAACGACACTGAGCTGCTACAAAGAAAATTAAGTCCATGCAAGCTAGACCACAATACACTGAAATGTATGCAGCAGGAAATGTGAAGATTGACTTTTACGTTTGAGGAGGGCCAAAATAATGACAAGAAAATAAAACTGGAGAGATAAAAATCAGGATATAATCTAGCTTCCAAAACTTTTGCTGACAATCAATATAGGAATTTCAAATTGTCCCTGCCACTAGCAAACAAGCCTCAAACAGGCTCAAACAAGAAAGTCCTAAATGGAGTCACATTCATTACTGAGATGAATGCTTAGCATCTCATTAGTGTTTTCCAGCATGGAACTGTGCTCCATTTTCCTCCTGTATTGACGAGCTTTGTTCTTGGATTCAGCAGATATTTTTTAATTGGGCTAAGAAATATTTTCTGAAAAGTCTATTCTAATGCTTTGAATATGTTTCAGAATTGTTGGCTACCCTCTGGAAAAGGCAGTGGGCAGACCCTGTTCATTATGTCACCCTCTTCAACAGCAGCATTATAGTGCCATTTTAAAACATCCCTAACCTTCTGTGGAGTTTTGCAGTGAGCAGAGATGGCTAAAAAACCTTGTGGAAAGTGAATTTACTCAGCAGTTTTAATCTTCAGTGGGCAAGACTGAGAAGCAAAGGAAAGTTGCTTAGCCTCTATCCCTGTTCTTTGTTCCAGCATTAGCAGTCTTGAGAAAAGCTGCTTTTTTGACTACATATTTAGGAATGACAAAGCTTCGCTTGTACTCTTATGCTCAATTGTTTTGCCTAATGCAAGCCCAGAGAATAATACTTCTGTGCTAGAGCACTAATTGCCTCCTTCTGAAAGGATGAAGTAGACACACATACAATGCTGTTGCATGTAGAATTAAAAAAAAAAAAAAAAAGGTGTTTTGACAAAGGACAGCATTTTCCATGTGATTAAACTGGTAATAGACGTAGGTATTCTGAGGTCTTCATGAGTTGTAAGCAAAAGCATGAAAATGTAAGCAAACTGGTAAAGATCGTATTTGAAATTTGGCAAATATGAGAAGTAAATATGAGTGGTAAAACCTGCATAAAAACTCTTGCTGTCATTTCAATTGCTGTGCAATATTTATTGAAGTGCTGAAAGTGCTTTCTTTGATGACAAGACAAAATACAGATAATTCCTGTACAATGTACAGTCCAAACCAGGTGCAAAACTCACAGGCTTCAACTCAAAGGAAAGACTGCAGAGGAAGCAGATAAGGTTATTATAAGAAAAGTGAACTTTCAGGAGAGACTGGAAGAGCTGAATGTTACGTGGTAGGACAGAAAACCTTAGTTACTACTACGAGCAATTTGTAATATTTTAAATGCACATATTTCATTTTTAGTGAATATATTAAATTCCGTTCCACTAAAGGGGATTTCTATTGCTCTAGAGAGGCCCTGTTGCATAATAAAACTTCTAAAAACTAAAAAGCACCTGTAGATACTAACTGAAACTACACTGCAGATGAAGAAGCAGAATTTTGTAAAACTAGTAGCTGGATTCAGTCATGTCCATTAGATAGGGTGTGTTCTTGTCTGTACTGGCTTTAAGATCAATTTTTTTATTCTTGAGCGTATTTGGTGGACAAACAGAATAATTGCGTTAAAAGACTTCTTTTGAGACATGGGTGATTGCTGAAAGCAAATTAGATTTGTCAACATGTGCACTGACCCAGTTTGGCAGATTTTGGTGCCATTGCATGGGCATATGAGACAGAAAGACTTGTCACCCTTCAGAGATTGTTCACCTAACAATGGCAGACAGGAAATTTGGCCCTACAGCTGTTTGTTTTTTTTTAAATCCAACCCCCTATAAACCTCCTATGAATTATGTTTTTAATAATAACCCTTTGTTTTGTTCAAGATAGGACAGCCACACCGTTGATAAGACCATTTGATTAGGGCTTACTCAGCATCTGTTCTGAGAGATACACTTAAAGCTTCTACAGATGTGCTTAAGCGATACGTAAACCAACCCTAAGCAGCAGTACAGCTGAGGCCATGTTACGGTCTGACACTACATGCATGGCAGTGGAAGCCTTGGTTCTTGTTGCTTAACTACTTGGGTCAGTCTTAATTAAAAATTAGTGAGTCTGCACAAGCTAGACTTGCACCCTGAGAGTGCTCAGGTTACACACTGCCTCAACTGTGTGTCTTTTGAGAGTAATGGATTATTTTCCCTGATGCTGCCATCCTGTAGCTGGTGATACCTGAACTGCCCAACACTGCCTTCTCCAAGTTATGAACGACTGCTACAACAGAATCAACTGGACTGACAAACTGTTAGAATTAAACAGACCACATTTCATAGCTGTGTTATTAAAATTTTGATTTACTTTGATAACAAAATGCACTCCCAGGTTTCCTCAAATGGGAGTAGAAATCCACTAACTTGTGCTCATGTCATTTGACTAGAAATGCTTTTCCCCCAAAAAACAAAGTGTTTTAAATGCGCTGCGATGACAAGTTATAAGTCTTGTTTTAAAGCTATAAATTATTTTAGAAAGGAGGGGTTTTGACAGCTAAGGGAACACAAACCACTGGTATCTGGTGCAGCATGTATTTTTCCGTTTCCAACATGCTGAAATGATGTGGTGATTAAAGCCCATCCTTTGTTTCCCCTCCATGCTGTACCTGCATCCAGTTCTCCTGTTCTCCAAATGGACTTATTTCACCACATTCATCTCTGTTTTTTTCCATTTGTCTAGTCCTTTCACTATGAAAAGAAGGCAGAAGGATAACAAAAAATTGTATTTTTACCTGCTCAGTAAGAAGGTTTATTTTCGTGCAAAATCCCAATAGATGAAAAAGTCAAGAATCATTATTATGTTTTTTGCAAAAAAAGAAAAAAAAAAGTATTTTATGTAAATAGCATTAAATAATCACTTCTATCAAGTGCATAATTTATAATAAATCTCAGTATCCTTTTGAGGCAAGAGAATATTCTTGTTTTAAAGACTCATCAAGTACTGTACTTAGCACCACATACACTATATAAGAGCTTTTCTTTGCCCTGTTAAAAAACAAACAAAAAAACCCCACAATTTTGTATTCCCAACATTTTCTTGGTGGCAATAATTTGAAACAGTTCCTGATTATTTTTAGTATTGTTATTACAACTATCGAAGATAACCAACTTTGAACACTGAAAAATATTCCTCCACAAGAACCTTGAGGAAAATTCTTGCCACTCAGCTCCCAATCCCATTTTTATCTAGCAGCTCATTTTTTCTCCCAGTTTGGAGAACTTGCAACACAGCTCTGCCTCAACTAAATGAGGGATGTGACTGCGCTCTACACTTCTTCTTAGGCATTTGGCACTACAGGATCTTTACTCTCTTGTTATAAACAGCATTGCTACACTTTGCTGAAAGAAGTCAAAGAGGTCTTTTTTTGTTGTTATTTTTTCATTTCATGAATGCCCCAATGTATTTTCTGTTGTCTTTCAAGTCATTGTGTTGTGGCACGCTACATTTTGTGAAGGGTATTTTGGAGATCACCAGAAAAGCTGCAGAGCTTGGTGATCTCCCCTAGTATGACACAGCATTAGAAGAGGAGGTGAAAGTGATATGATATACAGAGGAAAAAGAACTAGATGCAGAAGACATGATGCTAAAGATAGACCGTTAAATTCAGCAAGATGCAGCTTATTTAGGAAACATGAAATATCCTTGCTGTATATATTATAGGCCACTAAGCAAGTGATATTTCTGTAAACTTGGGCATTTTCACATACTTCATGAAAGTCAACCTAACTTCCATTTTTTTAGAGTCACAGCCGAGACTCTTGTTTGAAGCATATGAATTCCCATAAAAGTGCTCAATTCCATGTTTTGCAAATCAAAAAATCCCTCCCCACGGCAAGTCTTTCACAACCTCCAAGATTCAGTGCTGTTTGGTGGTTATTAGTCATTAATGTTCAGAACCTAAAGCACTAACCCAGTGAAGATGCTTGAAGAACCACAGCATACTTGGTATTGTGACAGATTAGTTGATTATTTTTGATTTCTGTCCAAAATAAGCTTATTATTTTTATGCAAACCGTTTTTTTTTTATGTTTCACACCCATTTTCTCTCCTTTAAATGTCCCATTAATTCGCAGAGCTGAAATTCTGCAATGAAAACCTTTTTCAAGACAGTATCTAGAGGTTTTTCCAAATGGAAACAAGCAGCAAAATTCATCAGATGCCAGAGTCTCATTCTAGCAAAGTAATGACCACATCATCATCCTTTCCTTGCCAAAGCATTTCACCTTCAAAACGAACCAGGCCGTGTTTTCTGGCTCTCAGCAAGATTCCCACCACTTTGTTGGAGATAGTCACATATGTCTCAAACAGCTGCCCGAACGTTACACTCACGTGTCCATCTTCTCCCTTCTGCCCAGTGCTTCTGATTATCAGGCACAGCTCTTCCACCTCCTTTTCCACATGTGAGTGAGCATCTTTCCCTCTCTGTTCTGTTTTAGACCCTTCAGGGGGCTTCCCGTAGGCCGGGTCTCCTCTCTGAGCATGCAGAGGTTTAGATGCAAGCCTGTCTTCGTTGCTGAATGGATTCTTCTTCTGGTACTCGACCCGATCCTCTGCCCAGGTCTGCCAGCTTCTCCTCAGGTCACTCACTGCGCCGCTGGTTTTAGCATGCTGCCCCTTATTCTCCTCCATTCCCTGGAATTGGTTTGCAGCACTCAAACGGGAACCAACGACCAACCGTAGCGATGGTTCTCCTGTGCACTGTCAGCTGAGAGGGAAACAACACAAATAAGCCTCGTCAGAAGAGGAAAAAAAAAGAAAAAGAAAAAAAAAAAACAAACAAACCCTGATAGTTTGTGCCAGAGTTTTGCATCTGCGAATGCCAAGGCTGCCGAACAGACTTCAAATACTGAACTTTTCGCTCGGTTCACTCATAACCGCACGGCAGTCGAGAAAGCGAAGAGATGCAGACGACCTCTCGAGTCGGGCAGCGGGGCGGGCAGGACGCTGTCCGCGGTGCTCTCGGCCCCGGCCCCGAGGCCCCACAGCCACTGCGGTACCCGGCCGGCCCCGCGGGCACGGGGCGCTGCGCCCGCCCCGCCGCCGGGATGTGCCCGCCCCGGAAGGACACAGCGGCCCCGTTACGCGCGGCCGGGCGGCGGAACGTTGTGCGGCGGCGGCGGCGGCGGCGGCGGCGGCGGATAGTTCTGCCTTAAAAGGCCCCCGGCAGGCTCTGAGCGAGCTCAGGCCGGGTCTGCGTGTGCGTAAAGCCGGTGGTGTCCTCCGCCTGCTGAAACGCGGGGTGCCGCGACTGCACAACAGCCAGGGTGCTGCTGCTGAGTTGGGTTCCAGAAGGGAGCACGGGCTGAGCGGCCCTGAGGGTGCTGAGACAGCGATCAGCAACGTGCACTGCACCGCTGCTTTGTGTTGGTGGGCTCACGTGTGCTTTTAAATGGGAACTCATGATCACTCCGTGATCCCGTTGTGTGTTTTCTGGGAGAGGGTGGTTTACTCCAGGCTCCTGGAAAACTTCAATTTGGGTAATTACATTTTGGGTCCTTAAAATTCCCCTGAAGGCTAAAAAGAAGGAATTTCACTTCCTTCTCTCCGTACCAAAATTGTGCAATGCTTTGTTGTTGTTGCCTTAAGACAAGTCCCTTCCTGCAGCCCAACAACCTGCTTGGCTCATCTCTGAAACCTTACATGAGTTCTGAATTCCTGAACACTGCATCTGACCAACCCTTTGTTTTTGTGCTGCAAATACTCTGTAACTCTTACTTGTTAATCCACATACGCTTTTAAACTGTGCTATGCAGCATACAGGTTTGGCACAGATCCCCATGCAGAGAGCAGGAAAGCGCAGAGCTTTGGCCATGTTCTTCATTAGAAATGCACTGCTAGACCATGCAGGTCTTCATCTTCTGGGGCGGGCAGTAGTGCTCTGTGCAGATAAAGCAGGAGAAAGGCAGACCGAAAGAGATTTAGTTCAAACAATAACACCAGTGGCATCTCCTAAAAATTTTTTGTAAACCACCTGGGATGGGCTTGTCAGCAATCCAACACGGTGGGCACTGCTGGAGCCTAGATGAACTGATGAACAAGAGACATCTCCATCTGCTGCTTCACCTTGTCCTCAAGAACTGCCCAGGAAGGTTCATCCTCAGATTACAGTGCACACTGATGCTGGCAGCTGTTGGTGTGAAAGCTTCGCACCGAGCTTTGGTCCTGATTACTGCGGGAAGAGAAGGTCAAGCGTTGGCTACATGGATACATCAGGAACGCAGCCCATGCGCTGCTTACAGGTCATGAGCAAAATCTTAGCCATGTCAAAGAAAGGCCGTCCAAAAATCAGCATGAAAAACACAGGACATGAGTTACTGCTGAGCTGGCCTGCTCCTAATAAAGGCTTACTGAAATCTGGATAAGCCGAACCTTCCAGCTCAACGTAACGGGGATCAGGGAGTGTGGGATTGCAGTTATCGAGCGTGGATGTGAAGTTATAACAAACAGTAACCTGCAGCGCAAAGCGGCATTCTTTCATCCTGCTGAGCAGCCACTTAGCTGCCATTTCCGTACGCGTAAGACCGCGCTCACACAGAGGTACGTTATAACATGTGCGCGGCGACTGGGGAAGGCGGAGATGAAGCAAGCCGTTCACCAGCGAGCGGCGGCTGCGTTGGAAAAGCAGCGCCGCCTGGCCCCGGGCCCGAGGCGCACACCGACCCCGCCGTCCCGCGGCGCGCTGCAGCCGAGCGCTCGCCTCCCGCCGGGCCCTGCCTTCCTCCCGCTCCCCGCTAGGCCCGCCCGGCGGCGCATGCGGCGCGGGAGGCGGGGGACGGCCGGAGATGGCGGCGGCGAGCGCGGCGCTGCGGCGGTACCTGCTGCTGCTGGCGCAGGAGCACCTCGAGTTCCGCCTGCCGGTGAGGGGAGCGGGCGGGGGGCGGCCTCCGAGGGAAGGGGGCGGCGGGGCTCCGCGCGCGGGGCTCCCCCGGCTGCGCCCGGGGACGGCCCGGCCTGGCAGCGGCGGCGGGACCGCGCCTGGGCTGCTCCGGGCGGGGCGGGGCGGGAGTCCCCGGGCCGTGCCTCCGCGTCGCTCCCCGTGCGTTGCGGCGAGCGGCGCGTTCGCTCGGGGCCGTGTCCGTTTGCTCCGGCATCGCTGCGGCTGCGGCTTGTTCCTTGCCCTCCGGTCTCCCATGGTTTGAGGGCAAGGCTTTTCTGGGACGGGACGCTGGAGCCAGCCGGTTCTGTGGAACAGGCGGGACGGGCTGGCGGCACGGCGCTCCAGGCTGTGGGTAAGGAATTGAAGCTCGGAGGAAAGAGCTGCCTTTCCCTTACGGGGGTGTTGCTGAGGTGCTGTGCTGGTGCTTTGGTGGCGTGGGGAGCCGGGCTGCCTGAAAACGGAGCGCCCTGGGACCGGTGCAGGCTGGGCGCTCAGAGCTGTGCCCGTCTGTGCCGTGCCGCTGTGCGGGATGGAAGGCCAGCTCTGCTGCCGGGCGGGTGGTGCTGGAGCCCAGCAGCTGCAGGCTCCTGTCCGGGCCCACGTTTGTTATCAAGCTAACAGCCGGTCGTTAAGTTACGTGTTTCACATTTCTCAGTCTGTAAGAAGTCACACTCTGTTCTCAGAGGATCTCTCTGCCTCTCTGTTTGCAAAGGCAGAGAGAGATCCTGAGATCCTGAGAGGCCGGCACTTCCCACTGTGCTGTGGGCCAGCAGTGCCCAGCAGCTGCTTCCCTAGGGGCACATCTGGCCCTACATCACTGCCTTTACTTCTGTTACACACTGTTGTACTTCTGGTCACATTCAGAGGCTGCAGCTTGGCATTTGGAGTAAACAGGCTCCATGAGGAATATCCCCAGTGTTAAACTTCCGTTTCAGTTTAAAATGCTTTTTCTGTAAGTTTTACAGCTACTAATAGCTTGTTACTTGGAGATTTGCTGTTTCCCTTGTTCAGCTTGCAGTCTGATATAGCTTTCTCTGGACAAGGCACCCCCTGAAGGAAACTGTTGAGATACCTGTAAAGCAGAGGGGTAACAGAGAAGGACTTAACACTTGGTGATAGCCTCAACCACAGTTCAGAGTGAATCATCCCCTTTTTGGTGCAATAATTAGAAAAGCATTTTAAGAATAGATAGCTTAGAGCAATGTCATAACAGGAATATTGTTCTGAGTGCTAGGAGTGAGCAGTACAGATGTCAGTGAAGGAGGAACAGAGGGAATGAAATCAACTGGATTTCATTATTCAAATTTTGCCTAACTTGATCTTACTGTACTGTACAATATACAACTTCTCATGATCTGTTTATAACTCCTTCATTTGCAACTGAGTTCTGAGAAAGATGATCAGCTACTTCTACAGCAGGAGAGTCTGATGTTTCCTGCTCATCCATCCATACTGACTACAAGCAGAATGTAGTTGTAAATCTCTGCCCTAGCTGCACAGTCATGCTAAGAGTATTTCATCGGTGGTTCTCACAATAAATGCTGTTCTTTGGCTAATTCTAAAATTTCATTTATATTCCATGTAGAGGTCACAGTTTACATTAGAACAAGGTCTCATTTTTTATAAATAAATAAATAAATAAATAAGTAAATGCTCCTAAAGCCTGACTTTTATATTTTCTCTTTAGGAAATAGCATCTTTGCTCTCGCTTTGTGGTGGACAGTTTAGCAGTCAGCAGGAAGTCCGTGTAAATGTAAGTGAGCGTCAGATATTTTCTTAAAGTGTACATATGGTATACAAATATGCTGTCCGTGGTATTTTTATTGGAAGAGGGTGTCTGAATACATTCTGAAGTTCATTAGGAAAATAAGGTATCTTCCAAAAATGAATAATTTTCAATTTCAGTTAAGGTTTTTAATTCAGGAAAAGCTGCACAAAGTGCACATTGGGTTGTCTTCATTTAACTTACAAGAAGAAATTGTGCCATCTACTGGGAGGCTTGTTTCTTTTCAGAATAACTGAACAGTGGAAAAATTCAATAGCTACGTGAATGTAATGTTTACCTCTGGTTCAGTAAGACAGTGTATCCAAAACAGTGAAGCCAGGAGATACGTATTTCTAGTTTCAATGCTTAGTCAGCAAACATTACTTAGATTTTATCTGTGTGTAACAAAGTATTCTAATTCTTTAGAGTCTGAATAACCTAGAAAAAAATGATATACAGTTTTCCTTAAAATTAAATATTTTATTCTCATATTCTCTGTACAGTTTACGTTTTCTTTCTTTTTTCTTTTTTTCTTAATTTTTTTCTTTCTTTCTTTAGCATGCATATTCTGTTTTGATAGTGCAGAATTGGTTGATGGTGTAATTCCTGTAACATCCTCTATCTAGGTGTTTGCATTCTTGTCTTGTCTTCTTTTCCTTTCAGTCTCCGTTTTGGATTCTCAGTATTCCTTCAGAAGAGATGGCAAGGGGGCTGATGAAACGGACAGTGTGTGCAAAGTAAGAGGTGAAAAATCTTGAAAATGATGATGTAGACTGTGAAAATTTGTATCAGTATATGGTGATAACTATTGATTTTGTATGGAGAAATCTCCCCTGTGAGGAAAGGCTGGGTGACCCAATGCTGAATGTCTGTTCAGCTTTGAGAAAAGAAGATTGAGAGGGGATCTTATTAATGTTTATAAATATTTTAAGTGTGGAAGTCAAAGGAACATTGCCAACCTCTTTTCAGCGGTCTGTGAGGACAGGACAAGGGGAAACAGCCATAAACTAGAGCACAGGAAGTTCCACACCAGTATGCAAAGGAACTTCTTCACAGTGAGGGCGTGCTCTGGACCAGGCTGCCCAGGGAGGTTGTGGATTCTCCTCTGGGGATATTCAGGACCTGCCTGGACACCTACCTGTGCAGCCTACTTTGGGGCCTGCTTTGCAGGGGAGCTGGACTTGATCTCTAGAGGTTGCTTCCAACCCCTACGATTCTGTGATTCTGTGATTATAATAAATAGTCACTGCTTAACTCTAGAAATTAGGACTGATTATGTAGCATGCTTGTTTTCTTAATGTATGATCAGCATCATGTCTTGAAACAGAGATCTTCACTGCAGAGCCAGTCCTCATCTCATAATGCTGCTGACTTCTTAGTTGACTTGAATACTGTTTAGTTAGTGGCTTAATTTAAAATATAAATGAAATTAAAGATGAGAACAGTGATAGATAAAAATTGAAAATCAAATTTAGAAGGGAGTGGTATGATACATATTTCTTGTGTCACCCTCCTACAGCTTGCATGTGAGCCTTCAGCCCAGCTCCTCCTACAAAACTCCAGAGCAAAGGAGTATGCCAGAGATTGGTTGTTTCTGCTGCTTTTGGCCCTTTTTGAGGGATCTGAATAACACATTTTCCCATGAGTTGTGAGAGATGACTCAGAAACATAGTACAGGACAAGAAAGCCATGCATACAAAATGGTCATTTGTAGCAGTATGTTTCCAATGGGTAGAACAAAACTTAAGCATACCCTAAGACTTAAGTAACATCTTTTATTATCCCGTGGAGCATAAGTACGCTGGCCAAAAAGGACTGGTGGGAAGGAGTAAGTTTCTCTAAGACATCTTTCAGCCTCCCCATCTTGCTGCACTCTAAAAATATTGGTATTTTTCAGGTCTATATTTGAGCTGTGGGGTCATGGCAAATCTGCAGGGGAACTCTATGCATCCTTGAAGAACTATCCAATGGACAAGATGGTATGCATGTAAAGAATTTGGAAACCATGTTTCTTTCATCACAGTGATTAATGCTGCAGCTGTACTAACGACAGACTTTGCCTTTTTTCAGCTTCCATATCTCCAGCCAGACTCAACGTACAAAATACATATTCATACATTTAATAAGACACTGACCCAAGCACAGAAGATAAAAAAAATAGATGTAAGTAGATGTTTGAGATCTCCAATCTTTATTTTAATCTACTGATGTTGTTCTTATGCCATGTTATCAGTGTTGCTAAGATATATTGAAGTTTAGATTTCCTGAAGATTTTAAAGCAGTTAACAGCTTGTGTCTTATCAACTCTAAATGGGATCTTTGTCTCTGACCTAACACTCCCATGAAATTCCTGACTTTGTGATTTTTTTTTTTTCTGAACAGGCCATGTTGATTTCACAGATGCTGATTTCACAGATGCAAAAACGTAGATGTATGGCCCAGAATTCTAAGATTTATATGGTAGAGTTAGGTGACAGTTTTAAGAAAATCCTTTACTTGATCTTAAAGTATTAGACTTTTATTGTTGTAGAGTGTGGTACAAGGCAGATCCGTGACTTCAGTTGCAAGCTGTGGATTGTTTGCTAGTTTTCTGTTCTACCCAATGAATGAATCTCCAACCCCCCTGCCACATGCAGGGCCACCAACCCCCTCATTTATTACTAGACCAGGCTGCCCGGGGCCCCATCTAACCTGGCCTTGAACACCTCCAGGGATAAGGCATCCACAACCTCTCTGGGCAGCCTGTCCCAGTACCTCACCATTCTCTCTGTAAAGAACTTCCCCCTGACATCCAACTTAATTCTTCCCTCCCTCAACTTAAAACCATTTCCCCTTGTCCTGCCATTATCTACCCTTTCTAAGAGTTCTCTCCTGTTTGTAGGCTCCCTTTAGGTACTGAAAGGCTGCAGTGAGGTCACCCCGCAGCCTTCTTTTCTCCAGGCTGAACAAGCCCAGCTCCCTCAGCCTGTCTTCACAGGGGAGATGCTCCAGTCCCCTGATCATCTTTGTGGCCCTCCTCTGGACCCTCTCCAACAGCTCCATCTTTCTTGTACTGGGGGCTCCAGACCTGGACATGGTACTCTAGATAGGGTCTCACAAGGGCAGAGTAGAGAGGACAATCACCTCCCTGTCCCTGCTGGCCACCCCTCTTTTGATGGAGCCCAGGATACCATTTGCCTTCCGAGCTGCAAGGGCACACTGCTGGCTCATGTTAAGTTTTTCATTTACCAGGACCCCCAGGTCCTTCTCTGAAGGGCTACTCTCAATTTAAATTGGTATAGTTGCACATCACTGAGATTTTATATCTTACTGTCTGTCAGAAGTATTGTTTTCATAACTTGCAAATTGCATAATTAGCATTATACATAGTACAGTTCTTCTCCGCTAAAGTTGTGCCTTCTTCAATTAGTAACAAATCTCATGCTTCTAATTTTTATTCCTCAGTCATTTGAGCCATCTGTGTTCACAAAATAAGGCATTTTAGAAATCCATGGGAATGTCAGAATGTACTTTTAGTAATAATGTGTTGTTTCTCACAGACGGAATCACAGAGTGTCTTTTGGTGCAGTGACTGTTGCTGTGTTTTTCTGGTTGGTTTGTGGTGTTTTTTTTGTAGGGTACATATTTCAAAAATTTGACTCTTCTTCTTTCCTTATCATTTAGGCTCTTGAATTTCTGCCATTCAATGGAAAGGTAAATCTAAAGAATCCAGAACACATCTTCTGGATTTTGGAAGATTATGGAACGGACCCTAACAATGTCCCAGAAGAGCCCTGTGATCTGTATTTTGGTAGATGGGTGCGTAAGTACAGTTGCTTCTGTTTTAGGACTTCTCTGTTCAGGAAAATGTCTTTCAATTTGAAATGGAGAAGTATGGAGCCTTAATGGAAGAAGAATTGTATTGGAAGAGCATTTGAACATGTTCTGTTCCAGACCGCTTTGGTCATCTTCTATGTATTTTGGAAGTGTGATGGAAAAAATGTTAAGTGTTTGGGGTTTGTTTTTCGAGTGAATTCTTATCTGTCAATGCTATCCTCAATTTAGATTTTGAGTATGACAGAAAAGCCAGTGGAGATGGAACTTTTATGCAACATTTGGCTATGTGCATACACTTGTTAACATGTCCTTCTTATTATTTGAGAATTCTTTTAACTCTGCCAGGAATTGTTATTTTGATACCTAGAGTAATAGCAAAGTTGCTCTATTTCTTATTTCTTTAAGAAGAAATTTCACTCTAAACTGTTTATATGCTTTTGATCTCTATCTTGAAGTATTTATCAGTTATTGCATCAAGATTTCTATTACTTGGAAAGAAATCATTCATACTTGCAGAAGGCAGAAAGCAGACTGATGTGTTATAAAATGAGTAGTTCACCATTTGTTGGATAGTGTTAATTAAGCAAATCTATTAGTCTTCTTATCTCTCATATCTGAGAACTGACAGTGATTTCAATCCTTTCAACAGATTGCTGATGGCCAAAGAGAACTTATTGAGTCCTACAGCGTAAAAAAGAGGCACTTTATTGGAAATACTAGCATGGATGCCTGTCTGTCATTCATCATGGCAAACCATGGGAGAGTAAAACCCAATGATATTGTATATGATCCATTTGTTGGAACAGGTATGTTTGTTTATTTTTCTACTGGAAGGAAAAAAACTGAGGGTTTGTGTTACTGCTTGCACTGCATTTATACTTGATACAGCAGCCTCAGGTGCCTGCCTGAGATTTGAGGTTATACCTACAGCAAAATGATTGTTGTGAAATGAATCTTGAGAGGGATTTAGGGAGAAGGAGGCCAACTTCAGAAGATTTAAACAGACTTCTCAGAAGTGTAAGATATACTATCTTAACTAGGGTGTTTCTTCTTTTTTTTGTGAACATAACATGATTTAAACTCCAGTTCATGTGTATTATGGACTGCTTAAAATTTAACTAAGAACTCAACCTTGCCTTCAGCTGCTTTCAAAATGTTATGCAGAGCAGCATTTTTGGAGGCATCCATTTAGAGAAGTCTTGGGGACACTTTTGAGCATGTAACACCATGTGGTGGTCATTGGGTCATAGCCCTCAATAGTGATTCGTTCCTCGTACTGTTACATCTTCTCTTTAGGACAGCATAGTGCATACCACATGTTCTCCCCAACTGAGAATTTTCCTGGTTAAACCAGGAGGGGGAGCTTTTATTCCACACAATAAAGTGCATAGTATAGTAGTATATTTTATCTAAGGGAAACTATTGTTTTGTAATTGAAATAGAAGATCGGTGGTACTAAATTGTGAGCTGCAAACAAGTAAAAATGCTTACATTAGTGAGAGAATGAAGAGAATTCAGTGCACTAATCATTACAAAGAGGAAGCGTGAAGGCAACAATACACCATCACTAGTAGGACAAATTCTTATTTGCATATGGCTTCTCTGTACCATAGAAAATACATCCAGAATGTTGTATTTTCAGAAACACAAGACTTTAGTGAACTATGTTTTTGTCTTTAATATTTGTGTTTGTATATTACTTGATTTTTTACATGCATAATTATTTCTGATGAAATTTACTCATCTTCCTTGTGCTCATGTATAGATTGTAGTCTTTAAAAGGTTGAGAAAATTCCTCTTATTCCCCCCTAAGCAGTTTGTTTCTCTTTGTTGTCAGTTTTGTTTCTTTATTCACTAAACCAGCATCAGAAAAAAAAAAAATCTCAGGGCATTCATTCACTTGGAAATGAAAACATAGTAACAAAAAAGGGTAAAGTTAGAGGAAAAAATCACATAGAAATGGTGAAGCTATAAAAATTAAAGATAAGTGTTAAGACTTAAATGATTCAGTCCAAAAGTATAACATACATGACATTCTCTGTGAATTGCCCATTATTTGAATTACAAATTTTATATTCTTATTGCACTAGGCACTTGTAATGTATGGCCTCGTGATTAATGTACATAGGAACATTGGAGATGTTGGGTAATGCTATACCTGTTGGTAAGCTTTATTTATGACCAAACAGTGGCTTTTCCTTTACAACTACTCTTGGTGAGTAAGACTCAGGAATTGCAGTAGTCTCTTCTGGCCTTTATAGGGTTATCACTGGAATATAGGGAGATGCTTATGAGTGATGCAGTGAATGTGAGCTGATGGGTTTGGAAGGAGCATATCTTCAGGACTTGAGGAGTGCTTTGAAAAACATATAATTCAGATTTCTTTCATGGTGCAACTTCAACTTGATTTCATCCCAGTTTTTTAATGCTGAAAAGATAAATATTGAGGAATATTACCAGCCTTGCAAAATAGTGCTTGATTGTTGGAAGCAAACTGCTTTTGCTGAATGAACCAAATCACAAGTCTTCCAAATAGCGTAATAGTGAACAAATCCCATTTGTCTGTGGAAGATAAAGTGCTTAGAATGGTGCTGCTTTTATTCCTTTTTTTTTTTCCCCCTTGATGAAGCAGAATTGAAATGATAGATTTCCAAAATGTAAGTTCCATAAGCTTTTGGGATACATTTTTTTTCTCAGTGTTGGGCAAAATGAAACCTCAAGGAAAAGATAGTCTTTTTATTTGAATACTTTATATTGACCTCCTAGACAGTTGTTGTTAACTCATTAAGCTCATTGCTTGTACCTTTGGAAGATGTTTGTCCCTTGTTTTCCTTTGCCAAATCACGATGCTGTATAATTGCAAGAGATTGCAAGAATTGCCAGCTTGACACTGTGGGGGACAGTGATATGCCCAGACCCTCATCTGTGCTCAGAAGGTAGGAAAAATAGACACTGTAATGGAAGGTCTGTTGCCATTGTCATTCGGTTAATAGTTGTCACTGGATGCAATGATTTTCTGTTTCATCCTTTATATACGTCTATCTAATATAGGGTAGGTCAAAGGGCAGACCATATAGACCGTTTAAATATCTGTGCACCTTCCTTGTAAACACAATTTAACTAGTACTGGCTGTGATCTAAAAGCTCTAAGTTCATACTTTCCTTTTTTTTTTTTTTTTTTCCTTTTTCCTGTGATTAAAAATACTCTTAGATGGGCGAAGTACTTTCTTCTTACTTTTTTTGTAGGACTGGGTGGTATGCCCTACTTGGGGTCAGGGATAGCTAAATTTGTCTTGACCCCCTGGAGGTACTGCCCATCTGTTCTGAGCGATTACAGCCGAGGGGAATGGGTGACTCTTATGGGGTGAGTAACCTTGCTTTTCCCTGATCCATTTCACAAGAAAAAGCAGATTTTTATTATTTTTTTCTCCCTCACCTTCAGTTTTGGTAGAGTTTATTAACATAAAATATTTTCTAGAATTTTCTAGTGCCCCAGGATGGGACCTTCAACCTGCACATATGTGTTCAAGATTTGTCTGTGCTGAGCAATTGGCACGGGGCAGTGTAGCTGCCTGAGATGCTCCTTTTCAGATTGCCAGTGAATGCAAGAGTTGATATCATCCACACAGGCAGTTTGTGTGTTTCTGGTGCTGGTGGCCTCTTGTTTTGCAGAAGTTGTCCTCCTCATTTTAGTGGAACTGTTTCTACCTATAAGCAGTTAGCATCAGTAAGGTGGATTTTCACAGCTGGGTTCTTGGTTACTGTTCAGTTTTAAACTGTCCTGTTAGCTCTATACTTCCTGATTAACAGCAACACAAGCCTTTGATAATCTTCTGCCATCCTTCCCTTTTTCACTTGGAAGCTGTTAAAACACTTTTTTTTAGGTTTTTTTTTTTTTTTTTAATTAGAAATGCAAATCCCAATAGTGGTGGTAAGCTAAATTAGATTCATTGTTAGATAAGTAAGCTAGTAAATGTATTTTTTTCTGGATGCTGCTATTTACTCGATGTATCTGCAAATAATTCTCAATTAGTAAAAGAATTAAGAAAACTTTTTTGATACTGACATTTACAGTGGAGATAATTATATTTATGAGGTTCTTGACCATTGCTACCTCATGAAGAGTGGCCACATACACAACAAGTTTAATTTTTGGCATGATGAAGGAGACTGACTTTGAGATTAGACACTGTTTGGTAATAATTTCTCCATTGTTTTTTAGAAGTAACTTGTAGAATAGGAATAATAATTTTGATTCCTGAGTGATCAAAGGGTCTCACTGCTTTGAAATACAGAGAACTACAAACTCCTGAGAAAAATCTCCAGTGATGAGTGGCGTAGCAAGATGAGGAAGATCAGTGATAACAGACAAGGAACTTGGTGTTATTTTCTGTAATTATAGTTGTGCAGTGATTCTGAGTAGATTGTAGCTTTAATTCTTTTTATTTCTTTATTTCTTTCATTATTTTATTATTATTCATTAGGTTTGAGTCTAGTGTACTTGTTCAGGCTCCTGAAGTTCCCTTGGAAAAAATCATAACACAGATAACATTAATGACAGTAATTCATAATTTTCCCCTTTTCTCCCATTCACAGGTGGCCTCCTTATCTCCTCAGCACACTTTGGAGCATACGTCTGTGGTACTGATATAGATTACAACACAATCCATGGGTTAGGTGCGTTACATATTTCTAAGCCATTGAAATCTTACTTGAAATTTATAAATACTGATGTTAGTTGATAATTTTAAATCAATGTTCATCTTCACAGGATCATAGAATCATAAAATCACCAAGGTTGGAAATGATCTCCAAGATCATCAGTCCAACCATCCACCTATCACTGATATATCTCCAATAAACCACATCCCTTAGTACAGCATCTAAATTTTTTTTTTGAACACTTCCAGAGATGGTGACTCAGTCACCTCCCTGGGCAGCCCATTCCAGCACCTAACCACTCTCAGAGAAGAAATTTTTCATAGGATCATAGAATCCTTAGAGCTGGAAGGGACCTCTAAAAGTCATCCTGTGCAACTCCCTGCGATGAACGGGGACATGCACAGGTAGACCAGGTTGCACAGGGCCTGATCCAGCCTTACCTTGAAAGTCTCTAGGAATGAGGCATCAACCATATCTCTGGGCAATCCATTCCAGTGCCTCTCCACCCTCACTAGTAAAAGACTTTTTCCTTCTATCCAGCCTGAATTTATTCTCTTTAAGCTTGAAGCCATTTCCCCTTGTCCTGTCGCCACAGATTCTGCTAAAGAGTCTGTCCCCTTCTTTCTTAGAGCCTCCCTTTAAATACTGAAAGGCAGCTATCGGGTCTCTTCAGAGCCTTCTCTTCTCCAGGCCGAGAAGCCCCAGCTCTCTCAGCCTGTCCTTGCAGGGAGAGGTGTTCCATCCCTTGGATCATTTTTGTGGTCCTTCTCTGGACGCGCTCCAACAGATCTGTGTCTCTCCTGTACTGAGGACTCCACATCTGGGTGCAGTACTCCAGGTGAGGCCTCACCAGAGCAGAGTAGAGGAGCAGGATCACCTCCCTCAACCTGCAGACCACACTTGTTTTAATGCAGCCCAGGATGTGGTTGGCTTTTTGGGCTGCAAGGGCACATTGATAGCTCTTGTTCAGCTTCCCCTCTATAAGTACCCTCAGTTCTTTTTCAGCAGGGCTGCACTCAATCCTTTCATCTTCCATCTTGTATTGATAGTGTAAGTTGCAATGACCCGTGTGCAAGACTTTGCACTTGTAGGGTTTGAGCCTCATTTCATTTTTTTGAAAATTCATTTTTTGCCTTAGCTTTCTGTCTCCTTCATCCTTATTTTATAGGAACGTCTGATTGAAAAACACAAAACCATATTTTCTATCAGGAAACTTTAAATCAAGGTTTTAATTTTAGATTATTTCAGACTGGAATTATTAGTTTTCCTGGACAGATCAGAAATGTCTAATTCAGAAGCAATTATAAGTACACATTAAGTTACATTCCACATCAGTCCTCTGCTATACGTAACCATGATTTATAGTACTATTATTTTGTATGGACCTAGATGCATTTTCCTTACTGGAGGATGCCATAAGATTTGGCTTAAAAAAGTGAGGGTTTTGACTGTTGGTTCCCCAGATGAAGCATTTGGTCATGCTTGTTTTTATTGACCGTTTTGTGTGTGTCCTAGCTAAGCTATCCTGATAATTTTTAAACAGGAAATATTTAATAAAAGGAATAATGAAAACCAAAACAGAGTTCAGAATACTAATGACAACCACTGTGTGCTTTCTTATTGCTCATAACCAAACCCAGCAAGTCTAGTCTCACTTTTACTTCTCTGAAAAAAGTTCAATGGAAATTGTTGGATTTACTACATAGGATGGTGATATTCCAAAATTAACATCTTTCAAAGTTAACTATTTCTCATGTATTTTCATTGTGCCTTTTTACTTAGGAAGCTTAACCCAAATAGTTTTGATAGTGAGTAGGGTAAGGGAGGAGGTTTTTTAGGTTTTTTAGTGGCTTAATTCTTTCCTCTAAAAATAAATAGTAGGCAATATGAAAGGCTATCCAATGAAATAGTTCATTGTTGAGAATGTGTGTTCTTTCTTTTCTCTCTAAGGCAAGGCAAGCAGGAAAAACCAGAAATGGAGAGGGCCAGATGAAAATATCAGAGCTAATCTCCGACAGTATGGTTTAGAAAAATACTACCTCGATGCACTGGTTTCTGATTCTTCAAGACCAATATGGCGAAAGGGAACGTTGTTTGATGCAATCATTACAGACCGTAAGTTTGTTAATGCTTTTTGTTGCCTGATGACAATAACTGAAATACTGTTGCCGAAATCATAGAATATCCCAAGTTGGAAGGGACCCACGAGGATCAGATGTGTTGTTCTGTATTGATTTCACATCTTGACAAGTGTTCATGTCTGCAGCTTCCATGTTGCAGAAGATGACCACTGAAGATCTGCATTGTGTCATCTCTGCATTTATTTTAAGGATAGCTATCAATGTGTAACAAAGCTGGAGATACTGCTCTCTTCCATGAAGAGAATGTTATAATTGACAGTAAAAACCAATATGGCTGAAGAGCATCCTCTGAAGGGGTTTCATTCAATGAAAGCATAACTTTACTGGTGTACGGAAGTTTCCTGCCAGAATGGTCCACGTTCCTGTTAGCACTCAGTCTGCAGCATGTGAATCTGCTGTGCAGCTCTGATGGAGTTCTATAGACATGTTTTAAGTGCTTCTTGGAACGCTTCCAAAGAGAGATTTAAATGCATTTATAGTACACTTATATGCTAGAAACAGTAGGGATTTATAAAGATCCTCCACTCTTCTAGAAGCTTGTGCGTTTGACATCATTTGTCACACCTGAGAGAAGTAGAGGCTAAGGGAATAATAGAAGAGCTTAATACAGTGATTTCTGATCTCTGGTAACGGTTCATAACCTGACACATTCATATTAACTGGGAATGGAGAGAGTGACTTTTCTTTGTGTTGCCCAGGGTTATCTAGCCTATTTGAAAATGAGACCATGTAGAATATTAGCATTGCATAGAACTGAGTTTTTAAATTGTGTTGAAACTTCTGCATTTATGAAATGGCAATACTAGTGCTTCCATGCTGAAATGAGTCTTACAAGAACACATGTACTGAACATGCAGTAAGCATGTTATACTATTAGAAATTTGCAGAAATATATGAGAAAAGCCAACTCTGCCTGTCTGTATGACAATTAGCATTTGCATATTGTGTTAGCAAGAAATTCCCTACACACAATTTCATTTTACATTGTATATATTTTACACATACAATTTCATTAGCTAAGCTTGATAGCAGAGGTGTTTGTCAAACAAAAGAAGATGGGATTATTTGCCATGCATTGGAAATGTAGGGAATATATATAAATTTAACTAACGGGATGGAAAAGCATTCTCCTCTGTATCGTAGCTAATGTTGAGTGTGCTAGAAACATCTTACAGCTGAAGGCTTTCTTTGAAACAGTTTTAAAGTAATTCTTTACACACTGAAGAAATTGCGCTTACAAACTTTCTCTGTAAAAGTTTGAGGGTTTTTTTCCTAAACTTTGTGTAAGCTGCAGATTATGCACTGTTGTATATGTATAACACAACTGTATATTGTTATTTGGGCAAAGAGTGAATTTCTTATCTCCACATTATCTGTTTACTTTTAACAGCACCATATGGTATCAGAGAAGCTACTCGCAGAACAGGCTCACAAAAGGAATCAGTTAAATCATCCGAGAGAAGGTAAACAAGCTGTCTTTTCTGTTGTAGAATATCAAAGTCTTAATAGGAAGCCAGTCACAGTTTCAGAATCTTTATTTTTTCTTGGTTGTCTGTCAGCTCTGTAACAAATCTTAATAACTGAAGAAGAAAAGCCCCTTTTGTTCTGTTTGCAAGAGTAATATGTCTAATACATCTGTAACCTTCTTGGTTTTGTTCTCCTCCTTATAACTTGCACACGTCCAGATTTTACATCCTGTATCACCTCAGCAAACCACTATTACCTTGCATTTCCTATCTTCTGAAAGTTCTCTTCAATCCCTGCAAGCTGCAGAATCAATTTAAAATGCAGCACCTCTATTTTAATTCAACCATAGCTCTTGGTTTTCTACTGCTCCTTTTCTCTTCACGTATTACATGTGTCTTCTGCACATGCATAGACTTCCTTGTCTTCTGCCTTTTGCTCTAAATTGCCCTTAGGAAAGACGCTGTGCCAAAATAGCTTTTCACAACACACATGTGATTCTTTGATTTTCAGGGGTAGGTGGTAGTCTAACATCCCAGTATGGGAATTTAACAAATCTTATAGTAGAAGCTGCACATTGGAATTGCCCTAGGGTACTTTTTGTAAATTTCAAATAGTGTGTTTTTTGTTTGTTTTTTTTTTTTAATTTAGAAATATGATTTTTACCTGTGCTTTTATGCTTACACTTGCAATTTTTTGTTTAGCACAGAAAATCACATCATCATTTCATCCAGCTATCATCTGAGTGACATCTTTTTTGACCTATTGAAGTTTGCAGCAGAATATCTGGTGATGGGAGGAAGATTAGTTTACTGGCTGCCGATATACAGGCCTGAGTATGTATGCTTGATTTCTGGTATGTACTATGTCAGAGTAGATGGTGAATCCTGGTCATGAATATTTGGGCATAGTACAGCTGAAACCTTCTTAGTGCTAGCGCTGAAAAGTATTGCTCGTACTTCATAGGGTTAAAACTTTGTATGAGGAAAGTCAGATTTTGAAATAAGGTTTTTGAGTGGAGAGAATTCCTGGCTGTAACTGAAAAGAAAAAGCCATCACATCTCCCTCTAAATGCATGTCCAAAGGATTGAGATTTCAGTTTAGGTAATGAGACTTTTGACGTGCAGATAGATTCCTAAGATAGTAGTAGAAAGGCTCTTATTAATATATATTTCTATTAGAGTAGTTGATGGAGGTGCATGACGGAGTCCTGTTGGAGAACATTCTTGGCTGTTCGCAGTTTGGCACTACTAACTTAGCTTTCTTCTCAGAAATCAAAAGTCAATTGACAAGAGATGGCAGTGAGAGGCAAGAAGTGTAGGGAAACAGCACTGCTAAGGCCGAGAGAGGCCAGCAGAGACTGCGAGATGCTGTCTGCTTAGTAGTGCAGCCTGGGATGATGACTGAGTTAAAGAGAAGAGATGTCTGTTTGCACAGCTTAGTTTATCTTCTAAATAAGTTTTGTTGTTATTTATTTTTCCTCAAAACTGTTTTATAGTAAAGGTGAGAATCATTGTGTGGTAGCTGTTTGTGAGTATCTTCCAAATACAGATGTACTCTGAAGGTAGCTTCTACAATGTCCTGTATTTTTGTGTACAGGCAAGCTATACTGATAAATGAATTAACTGCAGTCCCTGATTTCACCATGCACAAACCTTGTGACCTACATACAGTTATCCTGCGTACAATTATCACATGCTCTTTTTGAAAATTTGGAAATCAAAAGGAGCCAATTTGTTACATCAGATGTCTGCACACTCTTCACTACCAAAGCACTTAGTAGATTATATGTGGGTTGTTATTTTAAATGATATAATTGGTATTTTAGGCTTTTTGCATAGTTTTTTTCCACACTGAATCACAGAATTTCAGGGGTTGAAAGGGACCTCTGGATTCCAACCTACTGCTAAGGCAGGTCACACATGTAGTCATCCAGATGATTCTTTCATATCTCTGGAGAAAGAGAGCCTGCAACCTCCCTGGGCAGCCTGTTCCAGTGCTCCATCATGCTGACAGTAGAGTTCTTTTACATGTTTGTATGGAGCTTCCTGTGTTCCAGTGTACATCTGTTGTCCCTTGATCTATTGCTGCTCCTTGTTATATTGGTGCACACCACTGAGAAGAGTCCTCCCCCATCGGCTTGACTCCCCCACTTCAGATACAGATAAACAGTCACAAAATCCCCACTCAGCTTTCTCCTCTCCAGACTAAAGAGTCCCAGGTCTCTCAGCCTTTCCTTATAATGGGAGATGTTCCAGGCCCTTCATGTAAGACTGTTCACAGGCAAAACAAGGAATACCATTAACAGTATTGTAAATTACTGTTCAAAATGTCTGTCTGTACATGCTTAACCCTTGCAGAACTCGCTAGTACAAAGTTTTAGTTTTCCATGTCAGTAAACTCTGTTTCAAATTACTGTATTTGTTGTGTTTGTCAAGATAATTGAATTTTTTGTCAACTCATTGAACATTAGTAAAAGCACACTTCCTCTGCATGTGGCATAAAATGTTCTGCTATTGGTAACCATCAGCTACGCATTCTCATTCTACTTTTGTTGCTGCTTATGGGAGGTCAGCTCTCTCAAACTCCGATTGGATTGCCTCTTAAAAAGTAAATTCGTACATAGTATTATTTGTTTATGCACTGAAGTTTGAAATATCCAAGTCACTTTATTAGCACAGAATATTTCTATGGTCTTTTTATTTTTTGGCTGAACATGATAGAAGATTTTATGTATGTAGAGGAAAAATCAGAGATTGTTTACTGATATGTTTTGCTATCAAATATGCCCAGGCAACACCTGCCATCAAGCTTCTGCATTATTTGAGATCCTTGTGTATTACCTTAAATTTAAAACAAAACCAGGCTAAAATTGATGTCAGTTAAAAGCACTGCTACTGTATTTCTCAGATAATGTTCTGAATTTTACCAAAGATTGCAGAAAGATATATAAATACATATGTGAATTATTGCTAACAGACAAGGATTTTTAACAAAGCGATAATGATCTCTCATTCTGCAAGATAGCATCTCACACCAAAGTTTACTTTCTTTCTGACACTGAAATCATTGTTGAGTCTGAATTCCTTTAATTCCTTTGCAGTCAGGCTTTTATATGCTTAAGAAGAGAGACTTCAGGGACGTTGTGGCAGAGTGCCTACTCTACTAAGAGTGAGAGGCTGCTTGGTGTACTGCATGCATCGAAAGTCTTTAGGAGTAAAAACAAAGCATTTGAGAATTCATTTGGTTCTCCCTTGTCAAAAGCATGTTCTTCACTTAGCAGAAGTTGTGACTTGATTTCAGACACGAGAAGGAACTGAAAGGCTGTTTTGTCTATCTAGAAGTTTTGGAATGATGCGGAGATGTAAATAAATAAAAAACAAATGCTACTGCAAGTCTGTAATATTGTTTTACTTGTTTAATGGCTTACTATTATCTTTAGATTAATAAATATCAAGGCTTCACTCAGTGAGGGATCCTTTTATGGGTTCTTTGCTTTTGAAGTTGCAAGGCTACTAATACTTCAGAAGTAGTATTTTTATTCTCTAAAGTGAAAACTTTGTGGCAGAGTTTTGATGACTTTTCTTTTTTTTCCCTGCAAATACTGTACGAGCAACTGAGCATCTGAAATTAGTGTTAATTAGTAGTGAAACCAGAGGTTGTATGAAACTTATTCTACCAAATCCTGAGTGAGCATAGTGAAAACTCATTTGAAAAAATGAGTTTCTTTTCTTTTTCCAGCTACTGCTAGTGAATCAAAATTATGGCTTAGAAAAGTTTGCATCACCTCCCTGTCTTGTTAATAGGTCTGGATTAGTGGAATTTGATTTTTGTACTGCTTATGTTCTTCAGTCTGGTCTCCTGAATGTCTTTCTAGGTTGTGTGTCTAAACAGCTTTGCAGGTCCATTGTTTGGTGACATGCCTGTGCCATACGTATAGGACAAGTTATTTTCAGTTGTATTGGATTTTACTCCCCTTTCTCCTAGAACATTAAATCTACTTTGTGAAGTGCAAAAAATCCACATATTTGCAGGAAAAATGAAAAGTTCCTCCATTGTATCTTATAAGTTCCATTAATTTGTGTGAAAATTGTTCTGTTCTTTTTTTGGTTTTTGATGCCTGGCTTCTGGTGAATCCCAACCACAGGCAGATCACGAGAGCAGGCATTTTATATGAAGTCATAGTCACTGACAATACTGCATATGAAGCCTAAATGAATGATTTGTATTGCATTATATAGAAACAATGTCTGATCTCATTTATCTTGTGGCCTAGGTTAATACTTTACTAAGTAAAGTAGTTAAATTCCTCCTTCAGCATTTGGAGAAACAGAAATAGGGAAATTTCCTATTTCCAAGGGAAAATAGTATGCTTCTGAGATGCAAGGCATTTTAAACATGGTAACTACTTGATTTCGTAGGAAGGTCTTAATTGCAAGCCATGTTACAGGCATCTGATGTTAAAAGATTATTTATTTTTTCTATTTAGAAAAATCTTCTGTCATTTGTCAAAATAATTACTGTATGATAAATTTGCAACACCAACTTCTGAACTCAGGAATGCTACTTTCACAGGAGCTGGTTTAGTATGATTTGGAATTTGAGTACAGTGGCCTCCTTGTAGGAAGCTAGTGGTATGTCTTGCTGCAGCTTAATATATGTTAGCTGTGTATCTTTTGTTTTTCTTTTTTTGTAAATCACAGCTACTGATTGGAGAAGTTATTACTCCTGATTGGCTGAGATGTTTTCCACTTGAAATGATACAGGCATGCATGCATACATTAGCATATCATAAATAGGTGAAGAAAATATGGGTGTGACCCCTTGATAGTAATATTTTCACTTACTGTATATGTTTAATGTGGGAAAAAAAGATTGAAATATATGATGGATAAACTCAGCAACAGTACCTGAACTTCAGGTCACTTAATAGAAAGTTGTCAAAAACTTTTAATTGTAATCCGTTTTGTGAAAAATCTGTGTGAATTTTGTTTCAGATGCAAGTGTTTCAGTTCATGAGCTTACAACTCTGAATGTTTATTTCTTCCAGATATACAGAAGAGATCATTCCCCGCCACCCGTGCCTGAAACTTATTAGCAACTGTGAACAGATGCTTTCCAGCCACACATCAAGGCGCCTGATAACCATGGAAAAGGTGAAGGAATTCAAGGTAAGCTTGAATTCTTGATTATATTGTGTAAAATGGTAGCTGCTGCGCTCATGAAATGTTTGCACAGTGCAGCATTTGATCTTCACACAGTTCTCTCACACGTGAGTCTTTTATGATGACGGAAGTAAAATTGCCACACATTTCTTCAAAGTAAATTGGGTAGTGATTTAATGGAGTGTTCTGGTTTTGCTGTTTTGCTTTTTCTCCTCGTATTCTGATCAACTTTTAGTCCTCAGCAGATCCCTTTAGCTGTGTGAAAGTGATCTTTGAAATAATGCTTGCTTATGGAAATTGCGTATGCTTTTCATGAAAAACAGAACTCTGTGAGTCGGAAGCATGGAGATGCTGAGATGCCTAAATGCCTATTTTCTGAAATATAATTTGGTGCCTAAGAAAATTTTGAATTCCAAATACTTTGTGAATCTGATGGTACAAGTAAACCATATTCAACTGTTACTTCATTTTTAGCGCGGTACTTTTGATCTTTAAATCTGTGAGAGACTAAGAGGAATATACCTTTGTAATTAATGATGTTCCTTTTACATGAGTATAATGAAAGAAAGAGTTTTTGTTTAAATTTACTGTGAGGAAGACAAAACAAGTTCCTTTCTGGAGACATCAAGACTAGTAAACACAGCATTCAAGTCTCTGTTCTGTTGTTGGTGCTTCTCTCACCTAATACTGTTAAAAAGATGCTACAGCAAGGGGAAGCAAATTGTTAATGAAAGCATATGTAAAAGGTGAGCATTCCGTTTCTGTTGGAAGGGTTGTTTAAAATGACAGGAGATACTGATGGACTGCTGTGTTTGCATGGTGCTCGCACTAATAACACAGCAGGATTTCAGTACTGCATTTTTAATGCTAATGATGACTGAAATTTTCAAGCAACAACCGACTTTTTGTAAAACACTGTATGTGGGATTCAGAGCTCAAGTTGCCAACTTTGTCAGTAGCAAACCACAAGAATAAATTACCAATCTTTTTGACTTGTACGTCTTGGGATGTCCATGGAGGGTTTCTGCAGAAGTTTTACTGCATGGCAGCAGGTATGCGGCCGCCAGTGCTGTAGGGTAAGATGTTCTGATTTAAAGAATATGTTCGCCCTTCTGCAAATAGACTGTTGTTATTTGTTAATCTTGTTTTGTGTGTCACATATTCTCCAGTACATGCTTTGACACGTTCACACCTGGAAACACTTAGCTTTGAGCACCTGATATTACTTGGCAGACTTACCGCCTAGATAAAACTGTGCAGTGCTTCTGCTGTGGGCTCCAGATGTCTTTTATGTAGGTTAAAGATACTAAGGCTCATGCACTGTTTCTTATATGTAGAACTTGTATAAACAACGGGGTATGTATTGACTCTTTTGCAAGTGTCTGCTTGTTGAAGGATCTGGATGTTTGGCATCTACCTTCCAAAGATCTCCCCACTCCGTTTTCCCTTACCTGACATGCTTCATATTCCCATGGCCTTCCAGAACATGTATTTTTGTCTTTGTATCTCAAAAAGCCTTTTGAGTTGGATACTTCTGACTCACCCGATATGATCATAAAATCCATGATTTGGAGCTTTGGCTCCAGTTTTTCTGAATTTTTATGAATATGCAGGCATTTACATCTCCAGGAAGTTACCGTTTTCTTTACTAAACTGATTTGTAACAGGAACTCACAGATTTCGTTTAGTTCAGCTTAGTGTAATGCTCACTACTGACTAAGATTTTCTAAATGATGTAGTGTTGTTATGCAATCCTTCAGTTTCCTCAGTGTTTGTCACAGACAGTGACTTGCAAATTTCACAGCAAATTCAATTCCATTATTAACACTCTTAACTGAAATAAAACTTTCTAGTTGATATTTGAGTGGACAGGACTGTGCAAGTTTAACATCACTGAATTATGGAAAGAGGTATTTTTGAGAGTAAAGACACAAGTTCCATTTTCCAAGACTGAAAGCAGTCATGTAAAACTGAAATACAGTGATAATGTAAGGCTGAGAAGCTGTTGGTTGAGTAGATGAGTGATGTAATGTCTTTTGACTGTATCGAGTAGTCCAGAGAGGGTCTAACCAGTTCTTTCAGACTGAATCAAGTGAAAATGTTTTCTACTGTGCTGGTTTATTTTTCAAGAACCTTTTAATGCAAGTCTGGAAGATCTCAGTCTGTGCTAACAAGTAGGTATTTATTTTAATTTCAATCTCTGTTAGGTAAGTTAATCAGTAGCAAAGTTGGAGTATAACAGCTTTCAGCATTAATACCACAAGGGTTCTTTGGGATCTGTATCTAGTGATGAGCCATCTCAGGAGGGATGAACTTAGTAACAGCATTGAACTAGGATGTTTCCTTTCTTTATAGCAGTGGTCTAGCTTTTTCTTGTGCATTTCCCCATGATGCTTGTTTCAACCATTGCGGAATTCCTTGCACTTGTTTCATTCCTTATTTGGCTGTCCTAAAGAAATAGACTAGCTATTTGGCTGATAAAAGCTACCTAGCTCTAAAGTTTCTCGTTAGGGCTTCTCAAAAAAACAAAACAAAACAAAAAAACAACTGAAAGAGAGCTCTACAATTAGTGAGGGTTAAGACAGTCACCTAGAAATTTTAGGGAGAGATGATACACAAAACTTGATTGAATGTTGAACTCTGAGGGTAAGACTGCCCGTGGAGAGGCTCTGGAACACTGCAATTACAAATTCACAGTGCTGAATGGGTCCAGCGTTTCTATGTCACTTAGTCACTCCAGAGTTTTTACTGGTGTAGAACTTTTCCTACTGCATTTAGCAGTGTTTGTTCCTGGACATGACCTTGTTGTTCCTGATCTGGAAAGTGCTTATTGTTGTTTATAGCTGTATAACACTAGTACAGGTGGTTTCTATAGCTACTGTTCAGCACCAGATGTACAGTGGCAGGAAGCTGTGAGAAGGCTAGGAAGATCTATGAAACAAGAACTGCATGTGGGTAATTACCCTAAGGCTGAACTGAGGCATGCCATATTCATAAAAACTTGTAAACTTACACGTAATATCTACCAAGACTTAAAGAAAAACAAAAATTTCTTGTTATCTTTAAGGTCCTTCCTCTTTCTTCCATCAGTTCCATTATTTATCAGAGACACAACACTTCTTTAGTGTTGTCTTTGGAACAATTAAGTGGTAAGCTGAAAACTCAAATTAGGTAAAAACAGTTTGGTAGCATCCACTTTGACAAGAGCTTTGTTGGCTTTCAGTTGTCACAGAATTCATCATAAAATGTTTCAGAGCAGAAGTTTTATGTGATAACTGTTGTTTACAATTAGTCTGCTGTTTTCAGAACTTAAATTATTCAAAGTGAAAGCCAAGGATGATTTAAAAAAAAAAAGATAAAGACTAGCTTTTAATGAACATTCTTAGTTCTGACTTCTGTAAATAAAGGAAGAAGTCTTCATCTTCATGGTAGGACTAGTACACTGGGGGAGGAGTTGCTTATTGCCAACTAGGCTGATCATTGCTGATCAGTCTTGGCACATGGCCTAAGAAAAGTTTTCTTGGGAAGTCTCAGTATTTTGTGCCAAAGAACAAACTATAAGCTTTATGCCTTGAAAACTACATACATTTGTTTCAAAGGGAATCGAAAACTCGTCAGTCCTAGATACAGGTTTATAAGTATCACTCCTGATTCTTCCAGTGAGTCATGTTAAGAGGAGTAGAAGAACTGCCTAGATGAAAACACTGGTTCAACTCCATTCTCTGAATTCAGAAGTCTGTTAACTGGACTGGACAGTTAATGCACGTGAGGGAAAGCATGGTCAGTAACTGAAACAGTTCCTATGATTTGATCCATTCATTACTGTTTCCTATCCATCATCCCGAAGTTGTCTTCTCTTACTGCAGAACATTCTTGTGAGAAATTTGGAGTGTGTGTTCTGCCTGTTAATGCTACTCAAAATGGAGGTCAGCTGGCTTTCTACTGAATGAGCTGGTGCTTGATGCCTAGGCAAATTCCAAACCAAATAGTCAGAATTGTTTCATGAAGATGATTTTTTGGCATGGTCTCATCCCTGTAAAGTTAAATGCAGTCTATTCAAAGTGCTCAGATAGTCCCCATTGAGCTCTCTTTATAGAATTTGTTCAAAAATCATTTGTCTCTGAAATTGAAGAATTTATTTTATTTGATCAGTTTTCATATTCCTTTTAAATTTTTTTTTGTTAGTACATGTCAATAATGAGTGGCATCTCCAGATAAATGTAGTGTTTCTTATTTTCTTTTCCTTTTTTAAGAAGCCATTCCTAATCTGCTCTTTAAAGCCATTAACATTTTTATTGGACATTCATGTCTGCATAGGGAAAAGGTAGAGAATGATAACTCTTAAGCTAGAATTATTTTAGTGTGGGCCAGGAGTTTTCTTTGTAAGCCATCCCAAGAAATCAGTGTCTGACTGCAGATCTCTCATCTATCAAGCAGTGATCTGCATAGCTTTTGATGAGGCCTGGATTTACCAGAAAGATTCTTCTGTGGTGTAAAGTGCCAGACTTTTGTCCATCTGATGAATACAGATGCTTTTCTTACAGCTCTGTTAAACTTGAAGTTTTACCATACCCCTCTTCGTCCTTACCAGCTTGAGGTTAGTGGGAGGTAGTTCTGTTCTTCCTTCCTCCCCTCAACCCTAGTCAGCATTTTGTTACTTAAGGAATCCAGATGAATGGCATACAGATGTGTGACCTCTTAGAGCTTATAGGGATTAATTTTTATGTTAAAATACTTTTGACACCTGTATCATTATCCTTCAGGGTCAGATATCTCATCCATTTCTCAATACAAGTGAATTAAGTAAAATCATTAAAACACTTCCCAAAGTTATAAGAATACATTACCTGCTTAGGTCAAAGAAGGATTTACTGACCTGCAAATTCAGTGGAAGAACAAGAGTACTTTTCCTCAGAGTGATACAGCATAAGAGAGCTGGAGGAGTGGGCAGACTGAAGGGATTTAAGTCCTCCTTGTTTCCTGTCTCCCAATAATATATAGATATATTTCCCATGGACATGTTAAGAGGCTGTGTCTTGCCTCTCACAGGCGACAGAAAACAATTAGCACTGTGTCTACAGTGGGCTTACTGAGATCATTTTCTCGTGCTATTTTCTTGCATCACAGGCTGCTCATGGTGTCTGTGCTTTATGTGTTGGGTACGTACATGGCACTTGATTTTCAGCAAGTTAATATAAACCTGTGGCATGCTAATGGGTATCTGCTAGGATAGCAGAACTGCTTCATAGGAATTTCTCAGTCTGTCCAGAAGAGGGCACTTGCACATGCACACAAACGTCTTGCTGTGTTGAAAAATCTTTGTCTTCCTCCTTTAGAGCGTGTGTTACGACATACAAAGTGGGACATGGTGTTGATATTGCTAGATGAAAGCCTGAAAGAGCTACAAAATAGCTGAAGGGGAGTGGGGGCATGAGGCGGTTGATGTCCACTAGAATTTAGTTCATCTAGCATTGTAATAGCTGGGTAATATGCAAAAATACTAAATTAAACCTAATTCCATGTTACTACTACTTGTGCTAAAGCATACCAGAGTAACTTTAATTTCAAATATGAATGAATAACCCTGAACTGTATATTAAAATAATGAACTGGTTCATATGTTACTGCACTGTTTGAAAATTTTACGTAAGCTGTGAAGGAGCATTAGAAAGAAACATTTAATAGAAGTTTAGTCCTGTTGTATGCTTGTTTTTATCTTTTCTTTACACAGCTCAGTTGTACTTGTGAGGCTGTTCAGCTCAGTCCCATCCTGCCACTGAGTGTGAGAAACTGTAAACCATGAATGTTAAACTGTTTTTAAATTTGACATCAGCTTTCAGCGCTCAGATAAAAAGGTTGATGTATTATTTGTTAGAGTACTGTTAACACAAATTGGTAAGTATATTAATTGTACAGAGCCACAACATGTGATGAACTAAACTATATAATCACTCATATAATGGGTCAGTTTTCTAAACTGTTTTATAGGCTGATGTCAAATAGATTTTATGTGCAGGGCTTCATTATATCAGCTTTACTTTTCAGTAAGTACATGAATAGTGCACACAAATAAAATCCTCTGATAGTACTTCAGTATCTGTGGGAACTCCTTTTAATCTTTTGTGTTTCTCTTCTGTTTTTATCTGCTTTCCACAAAATGAGTGATTGAATTATTCAGGTTATATTTTTTTCTGAAAACTAATCTTTGTATTTTCCTTTGTAAAAGTCTGTGTGACATAGTACCTGTGCTCTCATTTCAACATACAAGGGTTGAATTCTGGTGATAACTGCTGAGATACTTCCAGTGATTCAGCACAGTTCAAGCTTCTAATGTATGTTATTGACACTTGCATCAGATTGGTGTACAGAGTAGAAATTTGAATAATTACATTTAAAACAAACGAAGAAAAACAAACCATTACAGCAAAACAAACAAAAAATTTGCTTGCAGCTTGTGTTTGATCAGTGTTGAATGACTCCACTGCATATATATTCTCATTTCTGTTAAAATGTCAAGGAGTTTGTAGTAAGATGTATGTGTTCTTGTTAATTCCAAAGAAAACTTCAGTGGTGTATTTTTGGAATTCTTTAACAATTTAAATGTTTGCCATTAAATTGTAAAAAGTACTTTATTCTTGCATGTTATAATCTGAAAAATTCTGGAGGAAAAACAGTGGCAATGCATGTTGAACTTAGTACCATAAAAATTAATGCTTACATTTTGATACCATACAGGATCAAGACCAGAATTCTTACTTGTTGGATGGTCAATACATGCCATACAAGGGACACAATTCTTTCCGTGAGAAGTATTTCAGTGGTGTGACAAAAAGAATTGCCAAGGAAGAAAAAGACAACCAGAAGTAAAATATAATATAAACATATTAAAAAATGAGGAAGGAATGAAGATTGTGTTTCTTTGTAAAGACATCTGGATATGAACGTTCATTTGGATGCTTCAGAAAAATAAATACTGCTTTTAATTTTAAAGCAAGATGGAGCCCACAACACAGGTTGAGAGCAGTTCTTTTTAATTACATTTGTTTATAGCAGATTTTATTGTACAATGTTTCTGAGTTTTATTTAATTTATATTTGTGCTTTCAAGTCCTAATGATGATTGACTAAAACCATTATTATTGTTCTTTCACCATTAACATTTACAAAAAGTAGTAGTGTTATTTGGCTTCTTAAACTGTGAACATCTGGCCGTTTTAGAAACACGTGGTGGTGATCAAGGATTGCTTAATTATGAAGATCAGTTTCATTTGCTTTGGGTTTTTTTGCTGTTGGTTTTTGTTTTGTTTTGTTTCCCTAAGTGGTATACAGTAAAACAGAAAAGTTTGTCATGAGATTTTATTTTTAATTGTTGTATGCAATAACTGCTCAGACTGCTCCGGCTGAGGAGTGTAGTGTTTAAAACAAGCAAACAAAAAAACACTAACACAAAGAAACAAATGTGTGTGTACGCACATGCACGCGTCTCTGTGACCTGACAAACACTGGAGAGCCTGTTAAACCCTGTGAAGTTTGTCCACATCTGAAGCTCATCTGTGCTTTGGATTTGCTCTTGCATTCCTAAACCTTGACTCTTGGTCAAGCCAACTGTCTGCAATTTTTGGTTCAGAAATTGATAGTTAAAGCAGTAACAACAACAGCATAAAATCAGTAATGGTTCCCTAATGGTATTAAGCCTAATCAAATCTTTGAAATTGAAGCTGTATTTGTCAAAGGGAAAACTTTGCTGAATCCACACCGTGTCCATCATGAAAATACCTCATTTGAAAACCACTAAGCCCATTAATTCAGGATGTTAATGGCTCTTTTCATTTTGGTGGTCAAATATTCTTCAAGAGGGCGTTGGTGAACGGATCTGCTTGCTCCAACTAGAGAAAGCCTTGCTTCTTAATTTGCTGCAAGCTACTGACTGTGGTCATTTTACAGTCTTTGTAGGTAATAATCCAGAGCCTCTCCAAAAACCCAGTCATACCTAGGCAAGTAGAAATCATTATGCATTTGATTGTGTTCATTAACTGGATTTGCTCTTCTGTGTATTGTGGTCCTCAGCTGCAGCAGGGAGAGCTCAAATATTCAGTGACAACTTTGTCTGACCTTCTGGATCTAATCTGTGGTGGTGTAGGTAGTTCTGAAATAGTGATTTATTTTTTCTGTTTACATTATAAATCACTTTGTTTTGAGACTCTTACTGTCAGCCGTATAATAGTTGTTCTGGGCTAAACTTGGAGGGAGATGAAAGCTCAGAAAATTTTCAAAGCAGAACTTGAATTGATCACTTTCAAATATTACATCAAGAAATTACTGCTTCTGAAAAGCTGTCTTCGTGTAACTTCTGACTTCAATTTTATTATTACAATTTGACATTCAGTCTTTATTACTTTACAAATTAAAATTACTTTCTGTTCTTCATAGGCAAGGAATTTTTGTAGATGGATTTATTATGCATTTATAGTTTCATTTTCTTAAATGTTACCCTACATAGACATGTTCTAAATGGTTATACAAGATGTAAGGTAGTGGCAAATCTGGCTCTGTCTATTTAAGGAGAATGATTTAGTTTATTTCTCCTCTTCTTGGTCCAACTTTCAGTCCATTCAGCAGCGGTGGTATGGCCTCTGTTTAGCAGTTCATACATAACAGCTCTATGATTACAGAAGAATACCATTTTGAACAGAAACTATAAGTATATTTGGGGTACTACGTCAACGTACGCTAATCAAAAAGTTTGGAATTGAAATCATATGTTCAAGCTCTGCTGATCCCCAACATTAAAGCCATCATTTGGAAATATTTCTCATGTCTACATTTCTCCTTGTTTAATGTGCATACTGCAGACAATCGGATGTGCAGACGTGCAAAGCAGAGGCGTTTATAGCTATAGAGCTGGGACACAGCCCTCGTGCTGTCTCTAGTGAAGGACTGACAAGTGGGTGAGTTATCCTTTCGGCAGGATTTGGCCACCGATGGCCGCGGTTTCTGGCGCTTTCATTCAATCTGGTTCCATTCAGTCTCTTTCTGTGAAGTTCCAGTTTCCTGTCCCTGGCAGGGAGGGTCAGTTCGCAAGCCTGCGCTGAACTCATTCCGTTGTCATTCTCTCCTTTGGGGTGGTTTGTGCCATTTTCCAGTTTTGAAAAATAAACGTTATTTTTGGAGCGCTTTGTTGCACTGCAGTGAATTGGATGGAGGGAGGAGCTGAAGTCGGCTGCAAGGTCATACGGGCAGAGGCCCTCTCTTGCTGTAGGGAGCACTTTATTGAGTTAAGAAAGGGAACGAGTCCTCATCTTTTCATGGAATCCCTTTACTTGATGATTCAAACAGGTTTGACAGAAGGTCAAGGTTTAATGGGGTCTTACAGGTAACAAGGACCTAGAAATTTTGTTGAAATGAACAGAAGCGTTGAAGAAAAAGACTTTGTTAATATATCTTTCAAGATTTAAAGAAAAAACAAGTAGTGAGTTCGACTCTCATTTAGTATTAGACAATGTGGTTGGAAACGTGACTTTGATATAAAAATGCTAAAATTTGTTTTTGCTGCTTCTGCCACAACCAGTGCTGGTTCTGCTGCTTCTTGATTCTTTTCTTAAAACAAACAAACAAAAAGCATACAGAGAGCACGTTAGGAGTTCTCAGCAGAGCTTTCTGATTCTTTAAAGCTATGACACCAGCTTAGAAAAGCAGAGCTCAGTCGTTTCTTCTCTTCAGTCTGATGAGAGGAATCAAGGAGATGTGCCAGCCTGCTGAACATCTCAGGGAAGGTGCAGTCCTCCTTTTAAACCAAGCTAAGAAGCCAGTGTCTGTTACTGAGACATCTAAATCTAGATCTCACCTAGCAGAGCAAGCTTCTTGTTTCCATAACATTTTCACTGGACTTCATGCTGGTGCTATGCACTACAGCAACTTTCACCCACTGGATAGGGGTATGTGAGATCTTGAAGTTGGGTCTGCTGTGTGTTGAGCCTTGTCTTTGCCTCATTTCAACAGGGCAGTAAGTCTGTGGTGGATGTCCTTAATTGTTGGACCTCTCTTCTCCTTTTTGTCAGACTAATACGCAGTGCTTTAGCTCAACAGTTGTGACTTACAAGCAGATTATTTGTATCCCTACATGTGGAAATTGGCAAAAGTCAGTCTATTTTTGAGTTCTCAGTCAATGTTCACCTGTCTGAAAATACTGAAGATACAAGTACGCTTTCTCTCAGGCTGTTCTGATACCACAGTTAAGTGTAGAGCTTCTACAGGGAGGAAACACCTTAATGCTGAATCTTCTTTTTCCTTCCATCACTATGATTTACGAGCTCTTCATTAATGGTTATTTCTAGCATCCCCAGAACAGCTTCAGGCCATGGGACCACCAGCCAGAGAAGGGTGTCACTGGAAAGGTGACTGTGACTTTGCACTTTCCTCCAGCCATAGGTCTTTCAGACACAAAAATGTCCTCTGAGAGAGGGCACGTCTGGAGCAGATAATGTGTGGTGGTTATTGTTCCCCTGCTGCACAGCACGCAGCTCTGTGTTAGCTGACAGAGGACTGAAAAAGTCTCCAAGAAGCAGAGGCTGTTCACTGCTGGCTCAGCTCCTGTCACCACCATGGTTCTCTTTTCTGACTCTTCTTTCCACTCCTTCATCAAAGCTGAGAAGAAAGTTTGAAAGCATTCTTTTTTTGCTGTTTAGCTTGCTCTACAGTCTGAACTGGGGTCCAGAGTTAAACGAG